TGTGTTTATTGATTCAATAAATTTAATTGGAATTTATGTCGATATTGAAATTTATTAACGAGAAAATTTAAATATTTCTGTATTGCTGCTGCTGCAGTGGCAACACAATTTATTGTTGTTAGGTTTTTCATTATTGAAACGTGAATTTCAACATGTTGAATACTTAATTACAGTTTTTTTTTTCTGCCACGGGAAAATACGATTTGAGACAAAACAATTAAAAAATATAAGTTAATCAATATAAACAATTAACAATTTTCAATCTGCATATATTTAACACAATGGAAGAAATCATCCATACCACAGTAGAGATGAAAAAAATGTGGATGGGACAACGGTCCCAAAAAAACCATACTTCAAAATGTCTCTATTGATGCCCTTCAAGTATACTTCCTTACATACAATAAAATTATCCACCATTATATCTCGGACAGTTCTTCAAACCTCAGTAGTTAGAAATTTGCCTTGAAAGTACATGATTGCAGCACTAAAATACACTCAAAGTAGTGTTTACAATTGCTCTGAAAAAAATATTTCTCAAAACCAATTTTATATTTCTGATGATAATTTAACTACGAAAATCCACCACCGAATAATCTTAAGAAATGCTCACTAATGATTCTGATTTTCTTTTAAAAATGTTATTTATTTATTTTTCTGTAAGGGCTTGAGTTTTTATGTAAGTTTTTCCCTTTCGAGTCGAACTTTCCCTTTCATTGCAAAACTTCGATTATTAAGCTCGACTGGAAAGAGACATAAAAATCCTTTAAAAATTAAAAAAAAATAGATGCTTAGCTTTTGTAGTTCATACCAATAACTCTGATTGTGCTTGAAAACTGTGTTTAAAAATCACACTTTTAGCTATGATTCTCCATTAAAATATATTTAAAAACCTAACGTAAACTGTCTCAGTCCTTGAATATTATTGTTTAAAAAATCCAAAATTTTATTATAAGATAATCGTATAAAAATATTCACTTCAAATGCCACAAGCTTCATTAGTGCTTAAAAATATTTCATAAAAATTCATTCTACTTGCTCCTTAAAAATTCTAACTTATACCTCTGTTAGTCCTTGAACTCCATGTTTATAGCTACAGACTTACAGCGTCGATAGTCCTTAACAAATATTCTTCAAAAAATCCAAACGATTAGTAAAATAAACCTTGAAGAAATGTGTTATATAAAATCTACGCAGGTGCTCTATTAATCCTTGAAAAATATTTATTTAAAAAAAAAACTATTCTTTATGCTGTCATTCCATGAACATTTTTCTTGAAATGTCCAAATATAACCCACAAATAATCCAAAATATTAAATATGAAAGGTACACGAAGCTACATGCTGTACCAACTCTTTACGACACCTGTTCTTCCCGTCGCTGCCATCGCCTGACAAAATGCCAATAATTTTCCATGCAATTTGACCATTCCCAACAGTCTGTGGCATTTTTCTTTTTTTTAATCACAAATCCACTTTATGAGGAGGACTACTTTTAGGCGTATTTATAGCGGCTACACCTGTGATAATTAACAATGTTTCCCTGGGCAACTTTGTTGTACATTTAAATCCGCAAATATTATACAAGATATTACGCACCCACCATGCATCGCATTCCCCTCTGCCGTGCTGCACAACATTACACACTTTCTTGTTGTACAACCAACGACAAGAACAACAACAAAAATCATGTAAATGTTTATGTTACGAATGTAAATGTAAACAGCGACAGGCACTCTTGCCAACGACCAACCGTCCGACATTTAATGTCGGTAATATCTGTGTGTTAAATAAATTTTGAAATTGCGATTGTTGCAATAAAAACAATTTTAATTATAACTTAAAAAAAAAAGAAATATAATTACAACCAAGTTAAATGGTTCATTAAAACGTTTTGTGTAGCAGCCCCGGGGAGGGCAGTGTGAGAGCGGAAGGCTAACAATGTTGTTGTAAGGTGTCCACGCACACATACACACACACAGTTTATATCACTGTCACAGCTGTGATAATTATTAAAAGAATCCGACAAACAAAAGAAATTTCAATAAAAGTGTGTAGTCAGTACAAAGGCAGCAGCGACAACAACAATAACACCAATGACGACGGCGACGACGACAACGACGATAAGAACAATGGCAACAACTCAATTATTCACTGTTTAATTAAATGGCATAAACTTTAGGAGGTCCCTGGGATTCTTCCTTTTTCACAATTCAATTGCCATTCTTTAGTTTCTAAAGCGAGTGGCTGAACTGAAAGTGCCGATGTTGATGATTATGATGTCCTTTGTCATTAGTGTTGCTGTTGTTGTTCTTGCTGTCAGCAATTTCACTCATAAATTTACTCGGAAACAACTGAACACTGTTTGGCTGTAAATTAAGATAAATCCTTTTGCAATTAGTTGAACTTTTGGTTTTGATGCCGAACTCGAACTCATCACATCGCAACTCAACTGAACTGAACGGAAACTGTTTGGCCTGCTATGAAAGCTTTCAATAATAGTTTTCAAAGTTGGGTCTTTGCAACTGTCGCCCACTCTTAATATGATATTAATATTAATTAACACTTTTGTTGCGAAACTAACACTTTAGCTGTCCTCTTATGGTGTATGGGTGGACCTTTTTTGTTGCAGTTTTTCGTTTTACTTCTTTTTTTTTTGGATTCCATAATCCTTTGTGTTTGTTGTTGCTTGGGTGTTATTTTTTTATACAGCCAACAACTATCAATTTATATAACGTTTATACTTCAAATAAAAATGCTGAAGTTTTTCGTAATTTCTCGTTGAAATCCGGAAAAAGCAAAGAAAACTTTTTATTCTCTTTCGCTGCTCTCGTAAGTCCGCTCACTCGCCGCAGAAAAAAAACAAAAGGTTCACAAATAAGTAGTTATGTGGCCCAGCCGAACCGGCAGTCAAAGTTTTGTCATATCCGTGTAGATGTATAGCTGCGGGCCAGAGTTAACTCTGTCTCTGCGCCAATAGCCATTGGAAAACTTACTAACTAAAATAACACTTAACTATATTTTCCGAGTTATTCAGGCGGATCCAGTCGACAGATTCACTTGTAAGGCCAAAGTCATCGTCATCGACATTGGGCGAAACATTGCAAGTGCCACTGTCGCACTGGCACTAAATACAGTCATTTGTCCTTGTTGCTGCCGCTGTTCTTGTTCTTGTTGTTGTTGTCACTGATGTCCCTTCATTGTTTGTAATCGCGCAAAAGCCATCATTATCAGTTATTTAACGTTAATGGGAAAAGTTTAGAGTATCGACATATGTGTTAGAGTGTATGTTTTTTTGTTCAGACTTTGAAAAGTGAGATGGCTTGGTGATATGCCTTGATGGGATGAGTTGTTGGTGCGTTTAATAACGCTTCTTCTGTAACGATACACTGGAATCGGAACCAAAATAAGTTGGAAACTATTTTTAAAATGTTCAATATATTCAACAAAGATCCTCGACTGCAAAACCAACAATCCATTAAAACAATTCTTTTAAAAATCCGCGACTTTAGCTTTGACAATTCATGAAAAATATTTTTTTTACAAATTCTCGGTTACATATCAGATATTTTTTTTCAAAATTCTAGACTTGAAAATGCCTGTCAATGTCTTTGATATTATTTGAAAAATACACGATATCTCTGATGTGTTTTAACATATCCACGTTTGATAGTCCTTGAAAAATATTCTTAAAAAATCAAGACATTTCTATCTAGTAGTCCTGCAAATTCCCTCTGAAGTCCATTTAAAATGTGGTTATCATATCATAGGGTAAATCTTAGACAGACCTTAAAAAATAAAAAAAAACTATGGTTTAAATATCCTCGTTTATATCTATATTTGTCTTTCTAAAAAATATACTTTAAAATCTACGATTGTGACTGCGATATTCCAAAAACAAAAAAAAATAACATACTCCTTTGGCTATGCCAATTAAAAAAAATCACTTTTGAACTTCAGTGTAAATTTTTTTATGAAAAAATGCGAAAGGGCTTTGGTCGCAAAAGATTTTTGGCATTATTCTGAATTATATATATTTAATTTTATTTTTTCTTTATTATTTTTCCAATATAAATTCTACAATCCGAAATTCAAACAATACCCCTCAAAACATAATTATTTACTGTGTTCGAAATATCCCCCAAAAAACAACAACAACAAAAGACAAAAACATTTCAAATGACATAATTCTAAACCTGTAAAAATACATTTATGTCACGAACACAATTTATTATTGACATTAGATTGATTGGCAGGGTTTCTAGCTTGTCCTAGAAACCACCAAATAATGTAACAAGGAACACAAGTAGTGGTGGCAGCGACAGAAGAAGGCGAGATGACGAAGAAGAAGAAGAAGTTGCAGAAGGAAATTACGAATAGAAGTGCACGAGGAGGGGGGGGACAATATCCTTAAATGGCGTCTTAATAGAGCCAACCGACGAACCAACTTTTCATCTTGATTATTATCATCATTGACGTTGATGGCTGACAAAGATGATGAAGATGCTGATGACGATGATGGCAATAGCGACACTTTCATCATTCTCATCGCTCATCATTTACCCAGTTTACCCTCAAAATCCACACAAGTATTAATATTGATTGGCGTCCTTAAGAGTTTGTGACTTACATCGGCAGGGGCTGGCTGGCTGGTGGTGTTGCCGGCGGGATAATGACATACCGGGGTGAAAGTAAGAATTTCGCTGACTCGATACTATGGCACATTCATTCCCAGCTTGTACCGGGTGATGATGCTGATGTGAGTTATGTTCTTAACTGGGTTTATGTACTTTAACTAAGTCAGTTTTAAGTTACTTTTAATTGAATGGTCACTAATTAAAATGGACTAAAAATAAAATTCCATTTTACTGTGTGTTTGGGTGTGTGTGTATAGCATAGGGTAAGGGGATTACGAACCACAACAATTTACTAAGAAAAAACTATTATGGTTTAAATATTTTAGTTTAATAATTACCTTGTTATTTCTATTCTTCTTTGCAGATTGAAGATGCTATGCTTATGTTTGATAAGCAAACAAATCGACACAGAGGTAAGTGCAAATCAGTTTCCAATTGCAATTAAAAGTATTTAATATAAGTAATTGTTTAGATAAGAAACAAACGTATTAAATGAAATACCGAAATGTGTGAATTTTTATTTATTTTCAAAATTCAAGAAAATCACAAAATCATTTGAATATTTCTGCAACTGATCCATTTAATTTGCCAGAATTCCTTAAATGCTGTTTGCACATTCCACACATATCATTTAGCAAAATATCTATCCTTCCTCACAATTAACCATAAATCTTTACAAAATTGCTTAAACATTTAACACATACTTCTTGTGTGTGTTTGTATGTTTATTTACACACATACGTATGTGATTGTATTTCCATACCCTGAAAAGGTAGTTAACCACAAGAAAATCCATTTGCCCATACTCCAAAGCCACTCATGTTCTTGACCATACAATACCAAGAATATTCGGAAACTCGTTTACATAATCCTTGTAAAGGAAGACCAACAAAAAATCAGAAAAAACACACACACGTCCAAATATGAAAACCCCAAACCGACTATGCAAATCAATTTTACAAATATATAGTCGTACTTTATGGTATATTTGAATATAATATACAATAAATAAAATATGAATGGATAATAGGTTGGAACTAGACTAATTGTAACATTTAGGCATTGCACATGAACTACGAAAATCGGTCCATAAGAAAATGTGGGTCTTAATTAGGCATTGGCATTTTAAATATGGGCATTGAATAATTACAGGTTCGGATGAAAGGATAAACGCTGCTATCATTTTATTTTGAGATACACAATTTCATTTATTTTTAATTAACATTTATATTAACATTTTCAATATATTTTTAAATGTTTATTAAATTATTTTAAATTTGAACATTTTTATAATTTGATTTTTTTTTTTTTGTTATTCAAATATGTGATTTTACATCAAATTTTATGTTACAAAAATATTTCATTTTAGTGTTTTCCCAAATGTTTCTTGTCTATATTTATCTCGTTTCATCGAGTTTTTATATAAAATTGAAATAATATATATTTTTGTACATTATATCAAGTGGGATTATCAAACTTTATAGCGAATAACGATGTATACTAAACACAATTGGCCTCTGTCACTTTTATATTTCCACCCCAATACTCAACCCTTCATTTCCATATTCTTTAAAAAAAAGAATCCGAACAGAACAACATACAAATATGTATTACATTTACAAGTAAAAATACAAATAAGTTTACAGATACACTTTTACAACAAAAAGTCCAACATTTGCTTTTTTGTACAAATTGTTGTGTTTCATTTTGTATTTTGTTTGTTAAACATATTTCCGTATCAAAAAAAATGAAAGGATGAAATGGGCTGAATACTACAACAACCAGTTACAGAATATGGTACGGCAGGACTTGGGTTCATGTAGCAGGTCTATATAATAATAACAAGAACAACAGCTAGCAGAATACCTACCAATGCCAGCCAACCAACCAACAACACGAAATATTACAAAGTTTTATTTTTGAAAACCACAAGAACCCCAAAAACTATACATTTCTACAATTTCGTTTCATCTTTTTGTGTTCGTCTTCTTCGTCTAAGATTTCTTGTGGTTTTGTGCCCTCTTTCTCCCCCTATCTCTTTCTCATTGGCAAGCACACAAGTTGCAAGTAACGCAGAGGGTCAGTTGTTTTTGTGTGAAAATAAACAAAAATACTGGTCATATATCATGCACAATTGTGTCGTATATTACAAGCAAAACAACTGTCATGGAGTGACAGAATATTCTTGAATATCTTTCGACGACCTATCTCTCTCTTGCTCTCTCTGTTTTGTCTTTGTAGTTTAGTTATGTTGAGTTTTCAGAATTTCTTTGTATATAAATCTTAAAGAAGAAGTTCTTTTTTGCCTGTTTATTTATGGTTTAGCATCCCGTGGGTTAACAAAAAAAATTGGTCAGGACACACCACCCAAAACTCGCCCAATGGTCATTTGTATTGATTTTTATCAAGCTGTAACGATTTGTTAACAGCTTTTAGATTTGATTTGGTTTTACTGGATGTGTGTCGGTGTGCGATATGTGAAGTAAGTTCACTAAATAAATGACAAAATGTCATAAATAAAAATGAGAAAATATGTGCAAATATTTGTTAGTCCTAATTTTAACAGACATTTGGTTAAAACAAACTGATAATATTAGGTTGGGAAAAAAGAATCCATTATTTTTTCGCCAGATAGCTGTACTGATAGATTTCACGTAAAATGTCGATCAAACAATTTCAGATTTATGCTCGTTGGAAGGGTGACATTTCATTTGCGAGTTACAAGGTATTAAAAATGAAAGTGAACAATGAGAAAATTCGGTATATTTTACAGTTTTTCTTTGAAAAATGTGAACAATCAAGTCAAGTGGCTAAAATTGTGAATGGTGTTTATGGCACCGATACTATAAGAGTAATTTATGTGCAATTTTCGTTTCTTAGATTCCGTTCAGGAATTCTTCCTCGCACATGTAGGCCGGTCGTCGAAAATGTCGATAAAAACGGACAAATGATCGAGAAATGCCTTTAAAATGTCAACAAATCATATGACAAAACGGTACATATTTGGCCCAAATCGGACATTCCGAAACATGTTTAAATAAAGTCCTATAGTTCATATAAAATAATGGATTCCCTCTTTCCCAACCTAATATAATTAGGAACATTTTGTCGCCTTCTGACTTCACATAAATTTTTTGATTACTTTTAAAGGAGGCTCAGCAGTTTCGGTCATTTATTTATTTTTTATTTGATTCAGGATTAGACATTTATTTATCTAATTAAATTAAAACTAAGAACACCTTCACCAGACATAAAACACTGTATCGATATAACACGCTCAGGGAAGCTCTCTTGCCCCAGACTTGTGCTTGGCAAAATGTTCAAGAGTTTTTATTTATTTATTTATTGTTTAGAGCTTCATATTAAATAAAAATAATATAACATACAATTTTTATATTTTTAAATATATAAAGTCTCATTCTTTTCACTCATAGTTACTCATTTAATATATACGATTTATTTCAATACTTTTTAAAATTCCTGTAATATATTTAAATTGCAAATAGTCACCATTAAATAGTTCATTATTTTTTATCAACACTCATATTTTTATTTTCCTCAAGCATATTGTAGTTGCACTTTGTACCAAAAGAAATTGTTCGTCGCAACAGACGCAATAATCTTTAAATAAAATACTTTAAAAAGTGTTTGGATAACTTTATTTTGCCATAAAAATACAGATAATAATTTGAAGAAGAAAAACTCACAAAAAAAGAAGAACAGAAAAATAAAAATGAAATATAAACACTTTTTTGGCGTATGTGAATATATGTGGGTATAATAGGGTGGCTAGATGTATGTGAAACTGTTTTTTTAATAAAACATATTATAATTCTAACAACAAATATTTATGAAAAAGGTATCATTTCCAAACTGCTGTCATGCAAAAAAATGTATTGAATTATTTTCAATTAAATACAATTATATTGAGTTTGAGTTTTTAAAAATAGGTCATATAATTTTATTAAAACTATTTTTTTTTAATTTCATAATATTGCATTACACTCAATTTTGTTCGAAATTTGTCTTCGACCTTTACATAAACAGACTGTTAGTTCAATTTAAACTGAATTTTTCTTATAAATGTTCACTTTATAGTTAATTATGTGTATTCCCCTTTAACCACCCTAACAAATCATCGACGCACATGCATTGGACGTTATCGTTATGAAGAAAGAAGGATTTGCCGGCATTTGTGTTCTCTGTTGCCACTTTGCAATCTCTGAAATAAACAATGTTAATAAACGATCTGATGTTGGCATTTTTTTGCCTCTACTCCTCTTTTCGCACTGGCATTTCGGCAATCCTTCGATTCGTTGGGAAAATGTTGACGTGGTACCAGGGTCCATGAGAACATTTGGCGCCATTGTTTGTTTACGCTTTGCTCGATGTGTCGTGGCTGTGGTGTCACAAAGACGAGACAATTCAAAGCAAACAAGCGACCAACCAACCGCACACACAACACTGCAACAACGGCGCACGGCCACCGCAGCAACGGTGATGGTGCAACTGCAGTGGCAGTGGCAACAGTAACCACAAATACTCTAACCGAAAATAGCAAAACAACTCAAACTCAATTCGAATTGAGGAAGAAGCACGCATATAAACACATGCGTTACCTTGTTCCCAGGCATCCGGCGAAAAAAACAACCTCCAATACCACACCTATGTTAAGCTGAAATCAAGGCGAAAAAAATGTAGAATAGTTTGGAAATTTTTATAAAACCATGCATGTTTTTCCCCCATTTGTTCATTGCAAGGTTTTATTTTTTTTCTCTCTCGGTTATCGTTATGGAACATCTAAATTTTACACTTCTAGATAACAGTTGTTTTCTTGTTTTGTTTTACTAATACCCAACCACCACAGTACAATGCCATCCATACCTTTTACGAGTCGAGGTCGGAATTGGGCAATGCGTATGTGGTGGTCGGTCTGGGAGATGTTTCGATTTTTTGTTTGTTTTTGGTCACTCTTCCTTCCGTTTCCTGTTATGTAGCCATACTGAGTTTCGGTAGCATTGTCACCGTTACTGCAATTTCTATTGTTTACGATGCTGGGATTCAACTCGTTTTAGGTTATATTAAAATTGTATTATTTTCACATTTATTAAAGAAATTTATGTGTGAATACATTAAGAATGCAAAAAGGACTGCTAACAATAAAATGGAACTGCTATTGTTTTCATTGAGAAATAGAAAACAGTGATCGCATTTAGATTTTGTTTTTAGGAATAGACAAACATATAAAATATATATTCAAAGAAAACTGTGAATATAGGTAACATATTGTGTACCAAACTCTGGATAGAAACAGGAATGACCTGACTTAAATAAGAAAACTACATTTTTTGGTGGAAATTATTTTCCATTTTTAATCACCACAGAAGCTCTACTAATCATATCGTCGCCTCCG